GGGTAATAAAAGTTACTAATGACTCCTTATCTTATTCTCTGGCTCACCAAATGGAAAATAGGATTTTGTGTGACCTCCTGATGATTTGAAAAACACGATAACGTGTTTATTTCACTTAATAACATGGTAAGCAAAAGTAGGACAGATGGTTGGCAGAAGATTTGATGAGATTAATTTTAATTTTGCTTAATAATCTTATCACATAAGATTACAATGACACATATCTTGTTAACAAGCAACCATTATAAAAATTTCCCATTCAAAATTCAAGGAGAAGAAAATAAGTTAGAATTCGGTAATGAGTTGGATATCAAATCTTAAATAAATAGATCGTTGAATAAAACATTCTACTCAGCTAAGCTCCGTAATGCTTTCTCAAGTTGGCCTACCATTCATGGATGTGTATACCATAAGTAAATGATTTTGTCGAAAAGAAAAAACTTTCTCCACTGATTTCTTTATATCTTTATTTAAATCAAACAAGTCCATTTTGAGATTTAAATTAATCGTATAAATTTTCATTTACTAAAGAATATAGAAGATGATTTGTTGAATATATTTTGTTATATTAAACTATTTGTTTTACAATTCAACTAAAATCAATGAATTCAAGATCTGAGGAATCTTGTAAGCTAATATTTTATTCAGTTAATTAATTTGTCAACAAACTAATTGAATTTTCGACATTTATTTATACGAGAAAGGGGTTTTGTGGATATTATAGTAATTTCAATGGTTGAGATCATGAGTCAATTAAGGTTAGACCACCATGGAAAACCTGGAAGCACTGTGGGACTGATAGGTCCTGGCTTCGAATCTCGCAAGGCGGGATCGTGAATGCGCACTGCTGAAGAGTCTCACAATAAGATGAAACAGCTGTCCAGTGGTTCCGAGTTTTCCAGGGTGGTCTAGCTCCAATCGATTCATGATCTCAACCATTGAAATTATTTATAAATTAGTGTATTTTCATAAATATACATTACAATAAGTACTGTTGAAGACAAAATGGACATTCAACGTACATTTTAAGAGCAGTTCGTTCAAACTATCTTCAGGCGAGTCAATGTTGATTTGTTTTTCTGATATTTCCTTGCACATAAACTCAATAGTCTTGATAAGTTGTACATTGGTAAACAAATATACTACATCTAGTTAGATCATACTTTTCACATTGGAGGTGAAGACGAAGACATCTTTTATACTCTTTCTAACAACTGATTTGTTCAAAGGCTCTAAGATTCGTACTAGCCACTTTGCAATTTTATGGTAAAGAGAATTGTACATATCTAGAACTGGGCGTAGAAGATGATCCGATTTATGAACTTTAGGCAAACTGTTCAGTCGTGGTGTATATGATTCAATCAGCTTAATTGAATCATGAATCTCTGTCGTGATTATTCCCTTTTTCTTTATAATCCTTAAAGAAATTAGACAGTTGTTTTTCTAATTTATCATTGATGTCATAATTACTAGTAACTTTTTTGAAATTTGTTAGGATCACTAAGCATTGCTTCCATTTTACAGTATAATAACATAAAATGTATATAATAATTTGTATAATATTGATGTAATTTTGTAAATGAACACCTTTATAAATTAGGCAATTACTTTCCCAGACTATTTGGAAGCTGAATTCTACGTCAAACCAATGAATACACTTGACATATAACACTGTAAGTAGTATATATGTATTTTTTCAAAAAAATCTGGTGAATAAAAGAGAAAAAACTAATTTGTGTTAACATTTTCAATGTTTTATAACTAATTATAGAATGTAAATTTTACTTTTTTCTCATTAAAGTTCATAATATATTATCTTTATCTTTCTTACAATCTCATAAGTTTTATGATTTATTTATCATTGCTAAGTTTAGTATAAGGACTGTGATTGTGAAAGAGTAAAAAAAAAGAAAAAAAGAAAGCTACGTCTAACATTACGAAACAATTTCTCAGTATTTCTTCTCCTTTTCTTTTTCTTTTTTTTGAATGAAGTTAGAGGAATTTTTTAATTCATCAAGTTCTTATTCACTTTAGTTTAGAATGTTATAATTAATTTGTTTATGAGAACAAGTTTAACTATAATAACGATAAATGAGATGATGAGAAAATTTGTATGGTATTTACAAAATTACTAAATAGTATCCATATGAATAACATAGTTGTCTGCTTGAATATCTGAGTTACCTAATTCTGCCATCACTTACAGATATCATAATCATACTCAAAGAAATACTTAACTGCTTAATTTGATACTTGGTAAAATAGAGAAACCATACTATAATACTTAATTTGCAAAATGTTCAATAATTGTCTCGAACTTCGTTGTTCTTGCATTTCCATACCAATTTCTTTCTATCCCCGCTCTTTCTTTCTTGATCTTCCCCATCTTCTATTGTCAGACATTACATTCCTGACTCGCATTATATACTACTTATATCAATATAAGTAGCACGCACCACACAAGTAATAAATACAGTATTTGTAATCTTGATGAGTTGAATTTTTTCTGGTATCCTTCCATACTATAGGATAGTATGAAAGCATCTACATACTTTTTTGCTGTACATTATACACTATATCCATCAACTGTTCTACTGAATAAATATTTAGCGCGGAAAAGTTAATCATAAACTTCCAGAAAATATGTTTTTGCTTTTTACGAACTTACCTTCAAGATTTTAACTAGCCTAATGTTTTTCTGGGGCATCTTTTGGATAGAAACTTTTTGCTATTTTTCTTTTCTTGGTTTCACGTTTATGCTTTAACATATTCACTGAATACTTGTAATAATACTAGTCCTATCAACCCATTCTTACTATACATTTTTTTATGAAGGTAGTACTAATAAAATGCCTTGACCTAATACAAAATTAACTACAAAATGTCATGTTCGGAGAAAAAATTCAAACAAAAATTATTCGCTTTTAAGATATCGGTTTCTTTCATTATCACAAATCATTTTTTTCTGTCATATCTCCAAACATCATCTGGACTGGTTGAACAAAAAAACAATGTGAGATGTTTATGAACTTTGTTGTTCTTCTTCACATGATTGACATAAGAAATCAAGAAAACTTGAATTTAGCTTAAATAAATCATTCACCTTACCCCATGAAATTCACCGTATAGTTTATAAGTTTTTTTTCTATACTACCGAAACTATAGAAATCCATATGTATAAGCTGAACCATTGTATCCAGAATAAATTTATTTAACTCTTCTTTCACTTCTGACCATGGATATAAGGTAAACCAGTATGACTTAAAACAGAATGTTTATTCCTGATTATTCTGAATCCCTTTTATTTTTATGTTTTTGTAAAGTTTTCATACCAATCACCATAGTCTTACGTAATAATAATCAATATTTGACATGTTATCATCAAAATACTTTGTTAATTATTCTACTAAATTTTTATGTTTTGAACCACTGAACTGCATATCAACAAATAACTACTTCCATTATTATATTCAACTGATCCCTCATCTAACTATAACTAAGTAATTAAACATTTGACATTATTTTCATTATCATTTGTAAACTTGCAATACTATTATGTAAAAGTATCACCTAAATGACTTATTATTAGTGAAAGGCCATAATGGAAAATTAGTTGGAAAAAAAATACTTCTTCACTTTTCCTTTCTGACTAAATTGTGTATTCAATTTGATATCACAGGTGCTAATTTCTGTGTTGAATAAACTTTCCACTATTTCAAGGGATAAAGGAAAAAACTTAGAGTATTATTTTAATCAAAAGGTAAAACACTTCCATAACATTAAACTAACTTTTTCTAAAATTTATTACCTTTCTTTAAGCATCAATAAAACGAAACTATCTCCTTTTTCTCCCGAATCGATATATAATCAAAGTATAAACAATTTCACTATGTTAGATACACTGGATCTCATTCTTTAAATAATCAAGTATCCTAAATCTATGAAGTAGACGCTAAGTGATCGTTTCAAAACTCATTGATTTAAATTTTCTTACTGTGCAAAACTCTCATAATATTCAAAATAAATTTCAACTTAATCGATAGTTACTCACCAACAATTTTCGATATGATGGAAAATCTTTATGGTTGAGGTCAGTGATTTTGACAACGTTTCATCCTCTGGGTGATTTGATAATGATTAAATCACCTATAGGTGTCTTCGAAGCATTGCTCGTATATCCTTGGACCATCGAGTAAGTAATGCAGTTGTTAGGAAACGGGTACTAGGTAAGGATGGCAAATCCATTGATGAAGTAGTGAAACTTGATCAGTTGAGATGGCTGGGACACGTGTTACGTATGCCCAACCACCGACTACCCCGACGTGCCATGTTCAATGGTGTAGGTTGGAAGAAAGCTAGTGGCTGCCAGACCAAAACATAGCACAAATCCATGAAGTCACTAACAAGTGGACTGAATCATGTTGTTAAGTGTAGACTAAGTGGTTGGGACTCGCGAGATGATAGCAACCGATGGTTAGAGACCTTGAATGACATGGCTCAAAATCGTTTGCAGTAGTGCAGGTGCATCCACTCTCTTTGTTCTCCCAAATTTTAATCTTCTGAATTCTTTGTCTCTTTCTCTTCTCTCCTTCCAAATTTATTTCACTGTATTATACTCTCTGAATAACAACTTCTAACCCTAATCTTTCCGTTTACTGATTATACTCTTACTACCTCTACCAGAATGGGATTTGAATCGACAATTGTATGTGTGTGCTAATGTGTTATGACAACTCGAACTGATGTACGTAAGTAAGATGTTCTACATTGTTGCTAAATGACTGAAATCACCTGTAGACTATTCCACAGAAATCTTGATTTTACTAAGCTTGAAAATCACAGTATCTGATTCAGAATTAGAGAAAGACATCTACTGTTTTAAAGCTAATCAGTAATTCATATCAGATTAGCTTACATTATCCTATATATGGCATCACCAACAACCATAATTGTCTTCTCGTTATTAAATTATCTTCTTTTTTTCAAATTTTTAATTCTAGGCTATGGACATGTAACACCTCATACACGATTAGGTAAATTTCTTACAATGATGTATGCTGTATTTGGTATACCATTATTTTTTTGTTATCTTTCAAATAGTGGTAATTATATGGCATCATTATTTCAAGTTTTCTATATACGTATTTGTCAACCAGCAATTATACAGTTTAAAAAGTGTATCAAAAAGTGTTTTAATCAATTAACTCATAGAAAAGTTACTCAACAATTAAAATTATCAAAAAACAATGATATTTTAATATATGAAAGAAAGAATTCAAGATTATCATCATCAAATCCAATAAAATATAAAAGATATAAAAGAACACAAACTAATACTACTCACAATCATTCTAATAGTAGTAGAATTAGTAGTAATGACAATAATAACCATTTATATCATACTTATCATAGTCATAGCTATGCTAATTACAATCCTAATGATCAGTTGAATTTAAAAAATATTGAACGATCAAATTTAGCATGGAGTGATAAACAATCCCAAACTTCTTCATCAAGATTATCATCATATAAACCAGATTATTTAATGGAAACTATACCATCTACAACTTCTTATATAAATACAAAAAATTATTCAACCCAAAGATTTAACATAAATGATATATACTCACTAAGTCCATATTTACAACAACAACAACAACAACATACACCACTGGAAAGTTTTGACTTGTCAAATTATTATTTAAATACAACTCGTTCAATCAATGATCAATCATTCAATGAATCAATAAATACTTCGAATAACCTTGAATTACTTTCATCAATGAATGTGATAAATATAGATCATCAATTAAAACAACAACAACACCAACACCAACAACAAATACGACAAAGTGATTTAGATATAGGTCATTCTGCAACAAATGAATCGAATAAATCATCAAATGAAACATTAAAAACAGTTCCAATATCATTAACTATACTTATGATGACTGTTTATATATTATTAGGCGCTACTGTATTTTGTTTATGGGAATCAACAGATTATTTAAAATGGTCATATTTTTGTTTTGTAACATTATCAACAATTGGATTTGGTGATATTGTACCAGGTAAGCGAAATTTATATGGTCATTATTGATAGATTATTAGTATTATTAAAAAATATAAGTGGAATGAAGGCCTAAAAGTCATACAACGTGAACACAGGCCGAGACAATTAAGTGTCTTAATACAACACTACAGAATATCTCGGAAGAATCTGAAAATCATACAGTGAATACCTCATTTGCAAAATATCCTTCGATTCTCAGACTTTGTTGTTCCTTCGTTTCCATACCAACCAATCTCTGTTCTCGTTCTTTATTTTTCTCAAGCTTCTGCCGCTAGACATTCCACTTTTGATTGGTGATACATAATATTAATATCGGTCGACATCAGTAGCACACACCACACTACTACTTTTAGTAGTGGTATTAGTAGTCGTAGTATAGAGATATTCATCAATTTGTGTTTTATATTACTGACCGATACTGGTATTGAATACTAAACAATAATCAACAGCTGTACGGTTCTAGTATCAGTCTTCTAGACAGTGTGTACTCATGGCCTCGACAATTGTAGAAACAGAAGTTCTTTATGATTCATGGTGAACAATTCATCTTCTAGGTCATTAATGAAGTTTAATAATTATGAGTAGACAAGTATAAATGAACTGAAAATTGTCACATCTACGTACTTTGGATATAAAATATAGTTGATAAATGAATTATTTGTATCAATTTATCTGAGACAAATGTTTGTAAAATTATACGAAATCCATATTACTTCTGTATATCAAACCTAAAACGACAGATTCGATATTTTATTTCACCTACTAACATCTTTTGATTCCAATACATTTACTATTTATCTCTTTCACTATACACTAAATATTTCTAACTTGATAGTTTTTCTGTCTTTTTCATTTTAGACAATGACATTACCATGATTAGAACTACAAATTTCCATCATTATTCGTTAAGGTTAAACTTGATAAAATATAGGACTGAAAATGTTTAAGTGTTTAGTTAGTCAAGCAGTTAGTGATTTTCTTTTATTATCTTGAAGCTTCATGTCTCCATAAGTTAAAAATACACAAAAATCATATGGAATAGTTCTTGGGGAAAACATTATTCCCAAAACTTAGTTAAGAGAGAGAGCGACTTCATCTTAGTAGTTATAACAAATGTGATATTTCTCTTAAATATACATCAGAAACAAAAAAACAAATTACAAGTAAATCTGTATTTTATTAGTCTCTGTAATTTTTATAAAACTAATGGTTGTTTAACTAATAAATCAATACTCGGAAATTTTATTACACTACTGTATAATTTTCAGAATGGGGATTTGAGGCAGTTGTAGCAATTTTAATAGTTGAATTCATGGGACTACCACTGAAAACATTGAAGCACCGTGTCGTCCCAGTACGATACTCCTCAGTAGTGCACATTCATGATCTCGAACACGAGATCCGAACCGGGGACCTTCAGTCTCTCGCGCAAACACATAACCTGTAGACCACTGAGTCGGCATCCGACGGTGTTAATGTTTAACGTCAATTAATCAGTGATCTTACCCAGCCCTTCATCCATTGTCTGAAGAGGGTAACGGTTTCCAGCCAACACAGATTGAACTCCACTGATCACGGTTCCTCACTAGAACTTCAAGAAATCCATCTTGAAACCAGTCACTAGTGAGCATATGATTTGAGTCCAGTGTGTGGGATAGTAGATGTCCATTATTGAGGTGTTCCATACTAGAACGAAACGGCCATCCAGAGCTCCAATGTTTCCCATGGTGGTATAAATTAGATCGACTCATAAATTCAACTGTATACTAATTAGTTACCATGGCTACAATATACTAGACACTCTTAAAGCCTGTTGGAATAAAAGGTACTGAATACTTCTTAATTCTAAATCACATCATATCATTATAAATATATGCAATAGTTTTCTTCACTATAAAAAGTGTATTTTTATTCAAAACCAAAAGATCTATCTGAAATTAACTGATCATCATCTTTGAAGGAAAAAACTAATAAATAACACTTCATCTCCTTTCAGTTCGTTGAAAGGGATTTTTCTCTTGAATTACTTTTTAAAGGTTTTCTATACCTAAGAAATGCATTAATAATTAAAACAGATCACAGTTAAAGTAAGAGCAAATAGATATGGATCTGTTTTCTCATGGAATATTTTTCAACTTTAATAGTACGAAAATAAACTATCAGAGTAAGTGATTTTTCTTTACTCAAAAATAAAAATGTACCATCCCGTAAATTTACCTGGAATTAAATAAGGAAGCATAAAGAGTAACAGATTAATGATAACTTCTCATTAGTATATTGAAAATCCTTAATTAAAAATTCTACGGATTATGCTCTTTAGGAAGTTGATACGTTATAACATACATCACATATCCACAGTTATTGCCCCTAAAAGCCCTGGTACGGCCAAGAGTGCGAAGTCCGCTCTCCCTCTCGAAATGCTCTCACATGGCCACGCGTATATAGCCTCTGTCAGGGAAGTCCTACTCACTGTCTTCTCACGGCGGGGGTGTTGTTTACACAATCGTGAGGACGAAAAGCGAGTGTCTGGCGCTTTGACCGGGTTGGTGGACACAAAGAGTCCACCTACGGGAATTGGAAAACCTTGATTCCAAGTCAAAGATGCACATGGGCTCCAGTATTCTGAAGGAACGAATGGAGTATGAACCAATTGTTGGTCACCGGCTACCACGGGACTGAATCTTCTTACGATGCTCCGCTGCCTTGTGGGTCAAACCTCTAGGTCAAAGGTTCGGGGTGTAGCCCGCTAATAAAACTACCTGCTTCGGTTTGGGCACCCGGTCAGTATCACAGCCCTCACACAAATCTCATTTGATTTGTGTGGTGCATATGTATTTAGTGCCCCCTTGAAAATAAATAGATTTCTACAGTTATTGATGATTGTCTGTTTGATTGATTCGCACCTATTTCTCCCTCTCTCCCTCTGTATATCCATAATATGAAAGGTTTTTCTTCCTGAATATGTTGTACTCATTTGATGCTTTAATCGATAAATAAACGACTAATATGGATCACATTAAAATAACTGTTCAAATTTAATTTTATAATAAAAATTCAAGTGAATATTGTTTATCCATAGTGATTAAATAACAATATTTTATGGAATAATAATTCAGTGATTCAACTTTTCATTTGATTAACTTATTCAGGATTTTATTCTACAAAGAAGTAATCGAAAGATTTGGTTATTTTTTTAAGAGAAAGAAGTAACTTTAGTATTTATTCATCTGATTTACTGCCAGTTAGAAATCTTTTCATAAGAAAAGTTCTATTTAGAAATAATGATAATTGATTTACTGTTGATAAGGTCACTAGTATTCTGTTTTGCTTTGATTCGGTAAAATGTCAATATTTGGAATTTGTGAAGGAATTTTCAGAGTCCTATTGAGAAGTCGTGACCAGTGGAGCTAATTCGTGTAGGGTAGAGACAGGTATCTACCTCAGTACAATGGAAGGTGGTCGTACGATTTCGCGGATCGGTTGATGTTAGACATTGATATAATTGGATTCCGGCCCAGTGGTCCAGTAGGTTAAGCGTTCGCGCGTGAAACTGAAGGCCCTGGGTTCCAATCCCACGAGCGGAATCGTGCATGCGCACTGCTGAGGAGTCCCACGATGGGACAAGACGGCCGTCCAGTGTTTCCAGGTTTCCAACGGTGGTCTAACATCAATCAGTTCATGATCTCAATCCGAAAATATTTTATGAAATAATAATTCAGTGATCCAATTTTTCATTTGACTAACTTATTCAGACTTTTATTCTACAAAGAAGTAGCCTTAATATTTATTCCTTTGATTTACTGATAAGTAGAAATATTCTACTCAGAAATAATGATAATTAATTCACTGTTGATAAGGTCACTAGTATTCTGTTTTGCTTTGATTCGGTAAAATGTCAATATTTGGAATTTGTTCTAAAAAGACAACTAATTATTCATCTTTCTTTTACTGTGGGTTTCAACTTTAGATTATGGTATTCATTTTATGTGGAACATGTGGTTTGATAAGATTATTAAGAATCATGCAATTTCATTTTTCGTGTTTCGTAGTAATCATAAATAGTTCAAATCTAATTTATAGGAAGGAAGAAATTTACATTTATAATTAGATTTTCTGTAAAGATTATTTTCCCTAAGTTACATCATATCTTATGCACTGGTTGTGAAACACATCTCAGAAATCACCTTTTGGAATAAATATCTCTCATGAAACAATACAGTTAATCCACATCATTTAATCTAGTCCTAATGACACAACTGCTATACAAAGCAAATCGTACAAAAAATGAGAAACACTACATTAGAAGAAGTGGATGACCTCTTCACTTAGGCATACACGAACACAATCTGTCAATGAAGGTACATGATTACCTATAACTGATATTATTACATACAGACAAATGAGGACATGAATAAGACTGAAGAAATGTCGAAATTCTGGGTCGTAGGCATTTTCAGAATGTTAGAGAATTTCCGGAATGGTGGTATTTAAATAGATCAGCAATCAACAGACACATTAAATTAAGTCCAATCTGTCAAACTAATTGAAAAAAGTCAATCAGAAACCCGATCAAAGGTCAACGGAATACAATAACCGACTTGAATGCGTGAACAAATAAAGACAATGAAATCTACGAGGAAGTCCACTCATAGTCAAGGCTACCAGAACGATTTGATTTAAAACCTGTTGAACAACTAGAAAGTCCAATTCTACATGAAGTAAGAGCTAACAGTGGCGTCCAGAACGACTATGAAAGCTCAGAAATTAAACCACCCAGCTCAGAAAACTCAACAAAAAAACACACATGTGCTCCAAATCACTCCCACCATCCAACTATACTGTTTAGAAGTAAAGCAAATCTTTTGCTCTGTTCGAACTAAATTACTTCAAAGAGCATCGGTTGTTGAATACCATGCTTTGTATCTATGTGATTCTATTACTTGTTTCAGATCTGTCGTATCATGGTCGTAAAATGGTACAACAGCACCAGCCCATGACATTTTATTCGATGCAACAACGAATCGTTACATTTGATCACATTGCAAGATGTTTATTATATTTGCCTATTCCGTTAGTCTGTCTTCTTTTCATGTAATAATGTTGATAACTGTTCTAAATAAACTAGATAGATGGTTTGTTGATATTCGTCGAATTCAAAGATGTATTCCATCACATAATCCGGAGAATCAGGAAGCGCTATACAGCCATTTCTTTCGACTACGAATACAATTCTTTCTGGAATGGAGGCAGGTTGGAGGAAAATTAGAAAAATTCAAACTAAGACAGCATCAGATCATCAAGTTTTTAACTACTGAGCTACACCATATGATAGATGGAGTCTATTTCGTCTGAGTTCAGATAACAACCATGACCTTTGGTTACAGATACTGAATGAAATAACACAGAATCAGTAACAAAGAGTCAGTTAAATTTATTCCCTATCTTTTCTTGAACTTCAACATTCTCTGATGCTTCATATTCTTCGGATTCTTCCCTTCTTTTCAAACTGGATTCTCCTATCTTTAGTTCTTGCCACTATCAATGATCCTTTGATTATTTCAACCCTCCTGTTATTTGGCTTATTAATTAATCGGATTAAATGATATCACGTTCATTTAGTGACTGTTAGAAGGAGGATATATACATATTACGTTTTTTTCTGTATGAGGCTTAATTACAGAGTAAATTAACATCGATATGTCAAAAATCCTGAGATAATGTCGAAATTATTCATCATTGATATTTCTTCACATTACATCTTGATTATTTATCTATTCATTTATCCTATAACATTTATCAATGTGTTTAAATTTATTATTTTCCAGGTACAAAGATTGATTCACAAAATCCAAAAGAAAAGATGATTGCTTTAGCAGTCTATGTAGCTCTTGGTCTATCTTTATTTGCAATGTGTTTCAATTTAATGGAAGAAGAGGTTACAGCAAAAATGAAAAGAATAGGACGACGTATAGGTGTTACAAAATCTAAAAAAAAGAAATCAAAATCTTAGTTGTCATATATATATATATATATATATATATATATATATATATATATATATATTTGGTTTTATCATTGATTTAATTAACTCTGTCAACTCTTCTTCAATCAGAATCTTCATCGAAATTTTTATCTAAACGAATAAAATCCCTAAAATAAATGAGAGTGTAAAGTAAATTGGAGAAACTCACGGTAAATAACAGTTAATAAAGAAGATTTACAAATGTAATAAAAATCATTTGTATTTCATAATCATCTGTAACTCAAGTAATTTATGTGATAAATTTTTATATTAGATATAGTTGTACAAGAATTATAAAATTATAATATTTGTCTTTTTAGTTTCATATTGAATCACATCTAATTGTAAGATTATAGTCATTTAAACTAACTATCTCGATAGAGCAATGAGAAGACGGAGTTGATATGACAAATGTGATGTATTTGCGCTATACATTTCGAACAATCTGGTCACACATATACTTGTCAAGACATTTTTATATGAAAATTAATAAAGGTCAAACAAATAGATCGCTTCACAATGCAATCAAGGGTCAATGAACATGTACCTAGATGGCTTCAAAATCAATGTGTGTCAAATGATCCGATCAATGTAGGAGGTAGAAAACCAAGTTCATCGATAGCAAAACATATAATTGAAACGGTGCATAAAATTGACATTAATACAGTTTTTAAAATGTTGTATAGAAATTGTCAAGGACGAATTCTCAAGTTTATTGAAGCCTTGGCTATTCGTAAATTTAAACCCCCTTTTTGTGTACAAAAACAATTTGTCGTAACCTTGAGTTTACCTTGGTAATCCCTAAGTCATTCTATGGCCTAGGATAACGCGACAATTTCTTATTCTTTCTCCCCCCTTTGTTATTTTACTTGAACTTTTATTTAATTGACCTTAATTAATTTTCATATAAAAATGCCTCGACAAGTATATGTGTGACCAGATTGTTCGAAATGTGTAGTGCAAATATCTCACATTTGTCAGATAAACTCCGTCTTCTCATTGTTCTATCGAAATTTATAAAAGGGACTAATTGCTTTAAACTAACTATACTGTGCTACTTATTATTATTAAAGTAGTCAACATGATTATCACTAAAAAGGTGATGAATTGATTAAATGCTCACCGTTGATAAAAAAAAATTAGATAAACTGAATAAGATAGTTGTCATCTACTATAAATAATCGAAAGAAAAACAGTAGAAATCTTTTTTTCCTCAGATTTGTTGTACTATTATTCATTAACAATGTGAAAAACATGATATCTGAAAGAAAATCACTTTACCAACACCATTTTTAAATAAACTAGGTCATATTTATTACTTTATCTTTCAAAGCAACAAAGGAAATGCATTTATTCTGATTAGTATATATATATACATTACAATCATTATTATTTCATTAAAGATCTATCAAATGTCAAATGTGCACAATGTATATGTATGCACACACACACACATGTATTTGAAATTTTCACTGTAAGATACCAAAAATAGATTTTTTTCAAAAAAAGAATCGGAAATAATCTTCCGTTCTATAGATATGCCAAGTATATTTTAATAGTTATTTATAATGAAATATTTATCTACTTGTCAAAATGTAACAAATCACAATTTCATCCAAAGTTTATTCAGTTGTGATTGATTGTTTTTTTCTTTCTGTTTGTTTTTCTTTTTTTGGGGGAAAAAAAATGAGATAAACAGCGAGATTTGTATGATAGTTAATTTGCTTTTTGTGAAAAAAGGGTTTCCATCAAATATGTTGTTTAATAATCAGAATTTAAAATGTTCTCTTAAAATACCTTACTCCCGATTGCCCTGGTACAACTGAAAGTTGGGAGAGTCAGCTTTCCCTCTCGAAATGCTGTCAAATGTCCACATGTGTACAACCACTGACAGAGAAGTCTTATTCACTGCCTTCTCGCGGCAGGGGTGTTATTTACGAGATTGAGAGGACGAAAGGGGTAGTTGGAAAGCCCTGATTCCAAATCAATGGTGTACATGGGCTCCAGGATCCTGAGGAGTATGAACCTGTTGTTGGTCACCGGCTATCATGGGACTGCATCCCCCGACGTTGCTCTACTGCCTTGTGGAATAGGCTCGGGATGTAGCCCCGTAAGAAACCACCTGTTTCGGTTTGTGCATCTAGACAGTATCCCAGACCTCACATAAATTAGATGTGGCACATACTTGTTTGGTGCCTCATTGTACGAATGTTTACTTGTTTAAATAAATAATTTTAAAAAAAATTTGTTGTATATGTGTTAAGAAATAATTAATTAAGTTAATATTTGAATTTATATTGTTCAATAACCTTTGTTTAAAGAAAATTTAGTTCTCCGGTCAACACAATATGCAATCTAAAGTAGCCTATTATAAGATGTTAGAACTTAAAACAAGATTTGTTTTGATTTAAGTGAATGCATTTACAATTTCGTAAGTATCAATGTTTCTGGGATCTATTCTACAATTTCGAATGTAAACCAATTCAATAAAATAATGAATGATATATATATAGTAGATAAATCAATAAATCGATTTTACCACTTATAGACTGTTTTTTCGATGTACTTATTTACTATTCTATATCAATGGGAGTCACCATACTTTTTAGTAACACTTCACCATATTTCATCCATTTAGCAATGAAATTGTTTGAGACATTAAGCTATATCGTTTGCAAAATTCGCTAATCAGAATCCCGACGATTCTTTTACACAGTGCGTATGCTATGTCGTCTACATTTTATATCCTTAGCTTTAATCAATGATATGTTACGACCTATACGAGTAACCTTGAGGCAGCTTAAGCTTAATTCTTATTGGTCCGGCAATACTCATGCCTTCTTTTATCCTCAGCCTTGAGCCTGAAAGGAGTAGACAGAAAGCAAACTTCTATTATGATACTTTAAACCACCTAGACCTTATTTTTAGCACTTATTAGCTTATATACATGGATTATCGAACTACAGAGCACTCAAATAAAGAAATCCTACTTTAAATAGTCATACAGTAGGTAAAAGGTATAACAATAATGAATAGGTTCACTGGAATTTTACAAGAAAATATAGAAGTACAATAACACAGTTATCTGTTTACTAAACAATCAAGATATAAATGACAGTAAGCCGTAAATTGTTCTCAAGAATTACATTTTCTTTATTATTCGCTCTGACACCATCAATATTGGTGTTGTTCAATTCATGTATTATTATTATTGGCTTTATTCAATATTATATTTCTCATATAATAAAGGATTCTCAGAAACTAGTATTTCAACAAGTTTACTTCTCTTATTTCTTGATCGACCCTTGAGATGAATCTTGAGTGGTCGCCAGTTAGATGTTAGCAGTTCAGGAATAGACATTTGATTAATGGATATTCTTTTCGATGCATATTACCAGCAACCACGTTGTCTCTGATTGGGCTCTTTTGTAACTTGTACAGTGAAATGTCGTAAACTTTTCACAAACGTACTTGAATAGGTTATGCGACTAATAGGCATAATGAAGTGTTAAAACAAGCAAGAAAACAGAAAACTTGTTGAAATATTCAAATGGCAGAACACAGGTAGCCCAAATGTTCAAGCAGGCTGCCTTACTTACTTACTTACGCCTGTTACTCTCAATGAAGCATAGGCCACCTTGTCATTAAAGATATAAGTATAAACTGGACCATTATAGTAGACTTATGATTAGTGACAATGATAAGATTTAAAAAAGGTCTATAAGAAAATAAATTTTATTTTAACATTAAACAATTAGATAAAATGACTGTTTGAAAATGATCTAAATGAAACCTTAACAGGATCATAATAAAATCATATTCATTTAGTTAATTGGCCATAATTCGGTTGATAAAATTCGACCAACCCCAAAAACTAAACAACATGTAATTAATTATTGTTTAATAATCAATTAATCTAAGTTTACAAAATATCTTCTACTAATTGTATGTGATATATCTAACCAAAAAAAGCAATAAATTTGTTAAGATTCTCTAAAGAATTGGCCAAAGACGAGTATAGGGAAATTTGAACTTTCAAAACTCTCTTACCTGAAATTATTATTTATATTTTTATTCTCTAGTTATTGTATTCTCCTGCTAGTAGACTTTTCTGTGATTTATAAAATGTTGACGTATGTTATACCGTTCTAAGTTACTATTAACTTATTATGGATCTACTATTCAGTTTCTTTTCATATTGATTTATGATCGAGATTTTACTCTATATTATTATATGAGTTTTAGGTCATGATTAAACTGAGTGTAATATATGCTGGCTGCCGACTTTTCCTTGAACTGAAAGCAATAGATAAAGGACTTACAGATAACTGATCAATAGGAGCTTGATTTTGATAAGTCTTGTTCATTTGAACGCTTTATTCGGTTCCTAAGCTATTCTGTAACTCCAAAGCTAGAACTATACAGCGACCTGAACAGGGAGAAGACGCAAAGTATGCGAGAAGTACTTTAATCCATGGTTCATTTTTGTACAGAAAACATGGGTATTTATGGGTGTTAACATTTGTTTATTATTTATTTATTTGAACACATAAATATTGGTACAAGAGAGCGCCAATATATATGCGCCACACAAAACAATGAGAATTCGAAGAGAAGTAGAAAGAGAAAAAAAACTAAGGAACGCAAAAGAAAAAGAGAACAATGACGAAGAGATTGGAGTAAGGTAGTGTGGTAGTAACGACGGAACGAAAAGGTACAATCAGAAGAAATCTTTCAGGTAAAGGAGACACAACCACTTTTTTATGAAGAAAGTAAAAGAAGGTTACAGCAGGATCGCCACTGGCTTCTATTCTGAGCCATATCTGATAACGTCTCTAGCCACTGTGTAGCACCATCTCTCGGACCCCAACCAGGGAGTCGTGAAGGACCAACAGAAGCCAGTCCTTTGCAGCTTTCTTTCATGCCACGACACCATGTCATGCACTGACCACCTCTCCGCTTCTTCCAACCAGTCCCAGAGTCGGCAA